TTATATTAAATATGATATTTAAAAGTACGTTAAAACATTTTTATTGCATTGATTACTATAAGTATTACAGCTTAATAGCGTCACTTAAGATATATTAAGTGATAAATACGAGCATGTCGTAAAATTTGTTGTAAATAACTTTTCTTGAAGTATAGAATATTTTTGGTATAAATATTAAGACGGGGATTGAAAATAATTACGTAATTTTAGTTTATTTAGTGTTTACAGTAAAATATTTTTAATTATTGCTAAAGTATTACCTTTTGATTACTTTTTAAGTGCACATTTAAAACTATCGGTTTCCTTACCTACATGTGATTTTAGCTTTGCCAGTATTGTGCTGTTTTTGTTTTTATTTTAAGGCAAAAATGCCTTTGGTTGAACTCATCGAACCAAGTTTAGACATGCCCTTTTTTGACGCTTGATTAATGAATTAAGAGAAAAAAAATACATTGTAATCAAGTAATGTTTTTGTAATCTTCCCTCGGATCAAATATACAAGTACCTTATTGTGGTCACAGCCAATAATATGAGATATTCTATTTAACCACAATAACTACAACTAATAATATTGACTTATTTTGACAACATGGTTAAAAAAAATAATAGAGTAGATTAAAATTGTGTGAATGTCTAGGTTTATGGTAGTTCTGACCAAAAATATTAGTTTAAACTGAAAATCGTACTAAATATTCAATTTTGTTTATCAAAAATCGACGATTAAATTGCTAGTACCTTCATGTAATAGCCACATTACTGTACAATGTTTATAAAAGAACTCAGTTCAATAATAGAGAGGACACATATGATATAAAGTTATGTCAAAACTCATCAAAAGATTATTAAATAATGTAATATTATCTGTGTCACTCATTGTTCATTTTCTCGTGTGTAACTGTTATCTCATTGAATTATTTTTAAACAACTTCTTATAATTTTAATTAACTTTATAATACTATCTTTGTATTTCTATAAATTGTTAAGTTTTTCTTAAGACATTTAAAAAAAATACGTTTTAGTTTTAAAGGAATTCATTGTTTTCATAGTTTAAAATAATTAAAAGGCTCATAACTGAAATCAAAATTTTATGAAAAAAATAAAATACCATCATGCTAACGAGGTGATGCAGACTTAATTGAGCTATCATAATATGATATTATTCAAAAAAAAATCCAAAAATATTTTCTAATGAGCTGATTATCTTACACAGCTGGACCTATATGAACCAAACATACCTAAGAATCATTACAAGAAAACTAAGTTTCAAATGAAACAAACCACATTGAAATCGGTCGACATTGACACACACAGACATACAGAAATCGACATCAAAACTTACCCCTCTTTTTGCGCTACGGTTGAAAAAGTAAAGAAAATTATAATATCTGGCTAGTTCATGTGTCCCGGATGTCTTATCTTTTCACCATAGGCTTTGTGTCAAAAGGGTTTTTGACACACTAACTAAAATAAAATATTTTTCAGTGCTATTTTAGATACTTCTATCTTTCAATGAGAGATATTAAAATAGATTAATATAGTCGAGTACGAAAATACATAACATAGAAAAATATAGCGATAAATAATTGTAAGAACATAGGAAATAAAAAGAGAACAAGTGCGGTTGGTTTCAGAAAACACTATGAATATTAAAATGAGCTTTTAAATATTATAGTTCTCAAAAAACCTCTGTTAATAAAATCTTGTCTTTAAACTTACGTTCACTACTGAAAGATGGGAATGACATCATAAATCCTAGTGTTAATTATGTAGTAGTAGAGCTAATTTTAATTTAGCTATTAGACTATGAAATACATGAAACAGTTTATCATCCAGATGTTTGTGGAAAGTAAAAATGAATACATACTATTTTACCAACTAACACAGGTTTAATTAGCAAGGTTAAAAATACTTCACGATGTATGGCACCGTAATGTTTTATGTTGGCCAACGCAGCCTAGACAAACGTCTTTTTCCTACCCTTTGACTATTTATAATGCGACATGCAATAGATGAACGAAAAAATGGAGGCGATGCTATATTCGTTTCCTTTAAGTACCCTAAAGATCTATATCAGTACTTAAAAGGTTCAGTAATTACCTTAGTAAAACAATATTATCATATCAATTTGCAAGTATTCAAATCGTTGTCAGCGCTTAAATGATTTCATTTATTTTATGAAAAAAAACATTCATTTACACTAAAACTTAATTGATTACAGTTAGTTTTTAAGTAAAAATATCATTTTAAGAATCACAATAGTTATTTGATTTTTGTTCGTAAAGATGTGAAACGTATTATTACTAATTTAAATGAAATTAATATTTTTCGGATGTACTCGTAATACGCGTGCTTTATTTTTATAATAAACTACATACTCCCAACGTTTCGACTACTTTTCAGCACTTAGTGATCAAGTCTTAGATCTCATCGTATTATTATTATTAACTAGCTTTTCGCCTTTAGCTTCGCCCTCGTGGAGTTCGGTTATATAGCGTTTCCAAGAGAACCTTTCAAAATTCTGGGATAAAAACTATCCTATGTTCTTTCTCAAGGTCAACTCTATCTCTGTACCAAATTTCAATAAAATCAGTTCAGTGGTTTAGACATGAAAGCGTAACAGACAGACAAACAAACAGAGCTACTTTCGCATTTATAATATTAGTAGGGATTTGTAATTATTATTCAATCCAAAGTCACTCATTCGTCTTTAGAGTTAAGTCAAGCAGATAACTAAGGTGTACCCCAAGGACAAAGTTGAATACCTTATTATCCCTTATTGGCTTATTTTATCAACAATCATTATTTATACTTAAGTATCGATAAGTAAGAATATGTATTGAATATCAAAATATAATTAATAAAATCTACTGGTCTGAAAAAAAGCAGGGAATCTTTATTATTTTTATAGTTTTAGAAAATACTTGTAAAGGAAATTTCTTATAATTCATTATATAGGCTTAGACCATATATATCTGGACGTAGGTTATATAGAATAAAACCTACATATATACATTATACATAGTAGTTTATACTCATTACTGATAAAATATTCTGCATTTCTTTGTTTTTTATAATTATATACAAAACATAGTCATCATAGTCGTCTTAAGCCATTTTTATATTAAGATATATAGTATTTTAATTATAATCGGAAACAAAAGAATAGGTTATTCTTTTTACAATGTATTTATTTATCTTCTATCTTAACAACCTTTTTGACACAAGTGTCACAGGTCACGTCAGTTGTCAATTACGTAATTTTAGTTGGAATATTATTTATTAACCATTTTATTTTATTTTAAAATTACACGACAATATTTTTAATATTATTTTAAAGAGACTTTTTGTTTTATTTAATATTCAGTTTTGTTGGCAATATGTAAATAAAATCTATATTATTTGGGACTGTTAATAATACTTATATGAACACGATAATTTAAATTTAAAGTAATATAACTAACTTGTCTAGAAGCGCTTTTGATAATGCCAAGAATGTCATTATCGTTAGGGTTATCATGGAAGTCCGAAGTATTGAGTTAAAATTACAACACTTCTTCGGTCCATAGTCCCCATTAATATTTTTAAATAAACTTCTAAATTAACGAAAAAATACGATCGTGCTCATGAACCATGTAACGTTCATTTTGAAGCTCTCAATATATTTAAAATCAAAGCATGTTCTTAGTTGCCCTAAATTTAGCAAGTTATAACATTTTATATTGGAATCATAGCGAAAATTTTGAAAAATATGCATTTATTGAGTACTGAGCCATACTTATAAATAAAAATCCTTGACCGGTAGGTACATTTTATTTTGTATTTTGATCTCAAAATAAAATTAATAGAAAATAAAATGCTATTCAACAGCTCAATTCAATTATCGTTACCTGTACCTAGTAAGTATAAACTCATTTACTAAACTTAGTGTCCACTGAAATCTTGCTACAGTTGCAATTCAACATCTCATGCAGACACATCATTCCGCGTATTTCCACACGAATTTTACTTTTCATGTGTGCTTTAATACTTTTTTATACTTTAAAGTGTTGCTTTTTTCCACGCTATTGAGGTCATAAAGTTATAAACAACATCAAATATTTATATTCATATCTTTAAAACTGATTAATCCGTGCATAATCGGTTATAAAAGCTGTAATCTTTTGGATTTGCTCTCGTTGCGAATGACGTTCTTTTGTCTATGCAGTAATCTTATGAATATTAATTTTGTGTAAATACATAATTACCTGAAATAAACAAGAATCTCATGTAAAATGAACAATTCATATATAGAATTTTATTTCGTAAATAATTAATCGAATCTTTTTAATCTATCCTGTCTTCAAATATTATAGTGAAATAAAAATAATCTTTGTAATCTGTTTTAGCTATAGCTTCTATTTGGCACATAGAAACATATTTTTTTGTCTAAATAGCAAGTGTATAGTGTTTGTGACAAATTCAGATAGTAGGTAGTCAAATAATATTAGTGACAGTAGTCAGTCTACGTTGAAGCAATAAATTGTGTGCCACAAGTTCATTGTTTTATTTCATTATTACTCATAAATATAACACCGAGATGTAACGAGTTTGTTTGTTTTGATTCTACCCATATACAGGTAACAAACTGGCGCCCATTACAGTCTATGACACGTGACCTTGCAACTTTCATGGCGTACTCCTTAGGAAACTATTATGGAGTTTTTGGATGAATTAAAACTTTTATTATTTTCCATCATTGGAAAGTCCCAATAAAATCTGTTTTATTTTTTTGTATAAAAGACAGGACATACTAACATCCATACGTAATTATAACATTTTATTAAATATAAAACCTTCGCATTCATACAATCTTATAAAAACGCGCAATAGTGAATTGTAATGTTCATCATTTTATTTTTTTATTAAATTTAATGTTTTTTACAATATATGCTTCTGATAAATGAATTAATATTCAAAGTATTAACTATTTAAAAAAAAACATTTCTTAAGCCTAATTGTATATGGATGTTAATGATGTCCACAGGGATTTTCAAGGAGCTTTACAAGTCGTGTTCGACTTACTATGGACTTTGATAAAAGTCAACTATTTGACGGTGGTCGGTATGTGGCGGACCATCATGCCGCCAGATCCCAAGGATGTACGAGATGAAATCGTTCTCGTAAGTACTATCAAATTAAAGGATTTTCTTTACATAAAAAGGTTTAGAATACCTAATTCTTACATAAAAGAAAATGATCCTTAAAAACCCATTAAGTGAATAAATAACTTTTTTCTTTTGTTGTTCTTATTATAAAATATGAAATTATTGATAACTAGCTTTCCGCCCACAGTTTCGCCCGCTTGGAATTCGGTTATATCGCGTTTCCAAGAGAAGTTTTCAAAAGTCTGGGATAAAAACTATCCTATGTTCTTTCTCAAAGTCAACTCTATCTCTGTACCAAATTTCATTAAAATCAGTTCTGTAGCTTAGCCTTGAAATCGTAACAGACAGACAGACAGAGTTACTTTCGCATTCATAATATTAGTAGGGATTGCATTGAATCTTAAGTCAAAACCATCAGTTACAACTAATGTTTTGTTAGAATTTTATATGTACAGTCACTATTATCATCTGCCTGTTACACAATCATTAAAACTGAAAAATGAAAACCGAAAAATCTTTCCATAGACTTAGAAATTTATATGTTACCTTTTCCTTTTTTCGTGTTTCAGATCACGGGTACCGGTCATGGCATCGGTCGGGAGATGGCGCTGAGGTTCGCAAGACTCGGAGCTACCCTGGTGTGTGTGGACATCAACGCATCCACCAATGAGGACACAGTCAGGATGATCAAACAGGAGAAGAATAAGGCATTCAGTTATCAGTACGTTCAATAGTTGGATAGCCTTAAACCCTCATATTATAAATCTTCTAGAACTTTCTCTTCATATTTTTTGTTTATAAAGAACCATAATTATACAGTGAAACTTGGTTTAGTTTGACCAGGATAAGTAAGGAACCTCCATAACTGGAAATCATGTCCAGGTTCCAACACTGACCTCTGTTAGAAAGTTGAAGGAAATGTCAATTCCTTGGATTCGTTTTTCCTGTTTTATCGTCATAGTTACATCTGTAACTGAGACAGCTTTTGAATTTAATATTGAGATATAACTGGAAATCATGCTCAGATTCAAACATTTTTCTACTGAATACTATATGTTGTATATCGACGAAAGCTCGGAATATTTTAGTCATAAATATTATTTTACTGAAAGACAACAGTTAAAAATCCAAAGCAAATTATATAGCCTTACAGACTCTAATTGTTCCTCAGAAAAAGTTTAATATAGTATTTCAAAATCTCCTCGAATTTAAGAGCAATTGAAAATAAACCGATAAGAGTTTAAAATACGTTTCAACTATTTAGGTGTGATGTCACCGATCGTGCTGCAGTGATGCAAATGGCTGAAAAGATTCGTCGTGAGGTCGGCGAGGTGTCGATCCTCGTGAACAACGCTGGTATCATGCCTTGCAAGCCCTTCCTCAACCAGACGGAAAAAGAAATAAGACTGATGAATGACATCAATGTCAACGCTAATCTATGGGTGAGCAATAACTTTATACTCAAGAACATAAAAGAACTTAACGCCCAAAAATAAGGTGACTAATACTAATAGATATCCATACGTTTTCGATGACTTTACATTAAATATGAATTGTTTCTATATTACTCCACATACTTCATCATTTTTACGAGTATTTTTTATGACACATTAAATTTGTAGAATAATTGTTGATTCCTCGTATAAGACTTACATCATGGCTTATGTCTAATTTGAAATATTTAAACTGAAGATTTTGGTCTCTAGAATCTGCAACCAAGTAAAGTCAAGAACTAAACGAGTTGTTTTTATGAAATTCTTAAATATACTGACAGAATAATTATATAATTGTTCTTTTCTCTACCGTATTACAGAAAAGAACATAGTGGTTAAAACGCTTTATACAAGAAATTAATTCAAACAGTTTTGATTTGGTTTATCATTTTCCTTTTCCTTACATAACCTTTGAGATCTATTTCATATGAAGTTGACGGTTTTTTTCAGATGATCCAAGCTTTCCTTCCATCAATGATGGAGAGGAACCACGGTCATATAGTAGCGATGTCCTCTATGGCTGGGTTGATGGGACTTCGCAACCTGGTCCCTTACTGCGGGTCAAAATACGCTGTGAGAGGCATTATGGAGGCATTGGCTATCGAACTCAAAGAGGATCCTAGAGAGTTTAGTGGAGTAAGTCAGTTTTTAAATAAAAACTACTATAAATATTTAAATCAAAAAATTATGAGTGGAAATCAACAATCACAAGTAACAGTTTCGTGAATACATTCAATTATGTTTTAAACTGACTTCTAAGTGTTAATATTTAAGTGTCTACATTTTTAGAATTTGTAAATTATCAGACTTTTTAAAAACTATAGAATGTTCAAGGTTGCTATAAAAGAAACGAAACGTCGGGATATAATGTCGTTATAAAATAATGAAAAAATATGTAGTATCCAAAAATATTACATTCATTTAAATGAGTATATTCTAAAATCTTAAACATCATTATAGAAATTCAGTTCATTTTATAGAGTGTTTGGTATATAACATAAAGCTCAGATAAGCTGACTATATTAATATCACGGCAAAAGAATCTATTCTCACTTAAATATTTTTGTTCGTCACTAATAGTTTAAATAGTGACTAAACTTCGAAATGGGACTATTTTTATTAAACATATAAAAATAAACCAGTCATTATCTTACTGGGAAAACCATAAAAACAGCCCTTTTCTATTTCCCATACAAACTTTTTTTTTTTGACATTAATGCCTATTTTTATCAACGTTTTTATTTCAATTTAAACTATCATAAATATTCCTTCTTGTATGAACTCGTACGCCTATTGACTTTTTTCATTCACTTTTATCATTCACAATCATAACAATAAAAGTTTGTATCATATTTTTATCAGTAGATAATTGAGTTTCATTATCAAATATTAATCATTTGCAAAAACTATCATAACGTTCTACTTTTTTATGTTTAGTGTGAAAATCTATAATATTGTTGAATTGTCATTATCAATCGGTCCTTTTTAATTTTATCCTTACATATGTAGATTATAATTGAAGACTTTACATCAGTAAAATTTACAAGTCTTTTCTATATAATATTCAATAATAATATAATAAAACCATCGAAATTATGATCAAAAGACTTCCTGAGTATTAATTTAAATGAAACGAATATTTTTAGCATTACTACGATATATTTCACGGGCAGACGAGATGTGATCACGATTACTGCAAAGTAACCGAAATGTCGTCAGTATGGAGTTATAAAAATAATAAAATAACGAGTAGTAATCCGAAAAATATTAGTTTTTTTGAATGTCTGAATGATTTTTTAAATGTATGAATTTGTTCTAGATTAAATTCACAACTATATGCCCCTACATGGTGGACACCGGGCTATGCAAGAAACCCCGCATCCGTTTTCCTAGTTTAATGAAGGTGGTGTCAGCTGGGGAGACAGCTGACTTGATCGTTGATGCTGTGAGGAGAGAAATCTTGGAGATCACCGTCCCACATGAACTGCACTTCATGAATAGAGTGAGTATCTCTACGTAATATTAAGGGCGCGGGTTCGAAGCCTGGCAGTATCAATGTGATTTGTTCCGAGTCATATGTACTTTCTAAAGAGTAATTAGACACCACTGGTAGACAGTGAAGGAAAACGTGAGGAAACCTGGGCTTTAATTTCAAATTATAAAATTGAAATCGCAAACCCGCATTGAGCAAGCGAAGTGTTTAATTCTCAAATTTTCTTCATGTGAGAAGAGGCCTTTGCTCACCGGTGGTGGCTCTGATATCATCATCAAATGATGATAATGATTAAGATCACCAGCCCAAAATAATCCTCATATAAAATAACAAGTCCTTGTCCTATTCAAAATATTTGAATATATGTAGTTGCATTTTATAAGATCTTCTTTACAGTTCGATCAAAAATTCAGTATAAGTCACTTCATTCCAAGAAAGAAAAGTAAGCTGTTATTCGACATTGAAATATTCTATGACTTTCCCATAAAAAATACTTTAATATCTAATATTTAGGTCTTTTAATAGGTACATGTTCAAGTGAAACTGTTCTATATATATCAATGTATGTATTTTCAGTACGTTTATCGTGTCCTACCGTTCCCCGCTGCTGTCGCATGGAACGAGTTTTTCAACACTGGTGTTGACTCCCACGAATGATGATAAAGATGATGATGATACAGCATTTCATTAGTCCTAAATATATTTTAACCATTGGTGAGATAAAATATTTAATAATACTGTAAATCTGACAAGATAAAACGAAATAAAAATATACAAAAAAAAGTCACTTGAAATTTGAAAAAAAAACATTACATTTTCTTTTTATTTGTGTTTAAAGTATATATTAAAATAAAACGGGGCATTTATTACGTATTAGTATGTATTGTATAGGTGTGTGTTTTTTGTATGTAAATAAAACAATTTTTTTTATATAATAATGTTGTAATTTCTTTAAATAAAATAATATATCTTATTTAAAGATATATAAAAGATGTTTTAATTTTAATTCTTTCCTTTACAATCCATATTTTTAATGAATTAAAAACAATTAAAGAAACAACTAAATAAGGAATACAAGGATATGTAGATGTGAATTTATATAAATCCATATCTAATTGAGTAAAATAAAACTTTTATGTTCTCAACAATTGCGCTCATAGGAAATAAAAACAAGAGATAGACTAAGAACTGTTAGAGAATAATTAATAAGACAAAAAATTTATAAATTTTCACCTTAATTACCACCTTATATCATTTTCAACAAAATCTTATGTCTATAGTCCTTTAATTTTTTTACATGAAACAGATTCACAATAGATTCTGAGTAATTAATTAATCACAACTAATTATACTTAAAATGAATTGTTACTCTAAATTTTAGCATCGTTACTTTACAGAAATTTAAATGATAGGAAAAAGCATTCAATTCCAGTAATCTACATTTTGGTTTTAACTAATTTTAAAGTTTGATAACAATTGTTTGCGACGTTTTGCATGACGTAAACTATGTTCTGGTATTTAATAGTATTTTCAATATCTCCCTTTTTTATAAACCCTCAGTGGGTTTGCAACTGTTTTCGAATTTTTACAGCCCTACTCCTATTTAGGCTAATTTGTGAGGAATTAGAGTATAGAAAGCATTCGCCATAGTTAAAAACATTTTTATTAATATTAGAGAAAATATATAATAGTCATAAATAGTATAAAGTAGTAGTAGGAAATGTTATTTACAGAATAAAAAAAATAGGTTTACATCGATACATAAAAAGTTGGCTGACGTAAAATGTATATAAAATAGTTTCATTAAATGACAAGAAGAAATCAAGGAGTTATAATATTACTTATGTGAGTACAGCCCGAGATTTCTGAACACTTACAGCTTCAACAGTTACAATTGTTTCTTGCATCAAACTAAACACAGGCTGATTTCACTTTTTCATTCATAATTTTTAGCAATATCAATGAAATTTGTAACTGTCTGTAATTATTTTTACTTTTGCAGACTTATACAAGTATAATAATTCCATATTAATGCCAGGTTTACAGTCTCACTTACGGTGATAAAGTGGTAATACATATTTCTATAGTAAGTTATAACAAATCGATCATTTCTTAAAGATAGACGTATTATACGTAGACTATATTAATATACTACATATTATTTTTGGACTTTCTTTAAACTTAGATCTAAAACTGAGTCTCTTAATTTATTTAGTGTTTAAATTCTTTAGGAAGGCAGCTGCATGTCGTTTTGAAGGTAGACATTGTCCAAATGCTTCTAACAAAAGCGGTTCTTGCTTCACGGCTTGTCTGATCACGAAAAAATATAAAATTAAAATATTTATACTCTTCCACAACACATAGTGTATTAGCGTTAATTTAATCAAAAGAACAGAACAACGCGATTTTTATTGCTATATACATATTACCAAACATATCTTTCATCACGGTTGCTGTAAAGAAACCGAAACGTGGGTAGTATGTATATAAAATAATAAAAAAACGCGTAGTGTCTGAAAAACTTAGATTCATTTGAATGAATACATGAGAAAAACTTAGAAGCGTAGATGTCAATAATAAATATAATCCCTACTAGTCCCTACTAATATTATAAATGCGAAAGTAACTCTGTCTGTCTGTTACGCTTTCACGCCTAAACCACTGAACTGATTTTAATGAAATTTGATACAGACATAGAGTTGACCTTGAGAAAGAACATAGGATAGTTTTTACCCGGACTTTTGAAAGGTTCTCTTGGAAACACGATATAACCGAACTCCACGCGGCCGAAGCTGCGGGCGGAAAGCTAGTATTGAATATGTTGTATTGTCATATCTGGTAACCCCTCACCTATAATCCTGTAGTGATAGTTTCCCGTCGTGATCCCCGTCCATCTTCCTGAGGACCAGCTCCACTAACTCCCTCACACCTTCGTCGGGATCTTCGTCTCCTGGTTGCTTCAGAAGAGAGTTTCTAGACGACATATGGAAGAATGGAAGTCATAAAATAAACTAAAATTTTTTGTTCACACATCTTTGCTTTTAATTTACTATCTCATGTTATTATAAAAGACTTTTGGATATTCTTATTAATATAAAGTAACTAATTTCTTCTTTCAAGCCACTTACTATTAAGTCATTTCAATAAAAATTTTGTCGTCATAGTCTAAGAACCTCATAGTGTTGAAAAATTTGAATCACGATCATATCACAGACACTTTATATTAATTATAAGAATATAAAAATGTCTTTTCAACCAATATGAATGTAATAATTGTAGAAGCCGACAACTATGTATAATAGAAAATTCATATTGGTCTCGTGGAAATTAACTTCGATTCAGAATTTAATGACTAAGCCCTAAATGGTTTAACTTTTCGACATTGTAATTTAGGATATTATACAAATATCAAATATTTTTAGTTCATCGCGACTCTTACATTAATGAGACAAATACGATTGGGTTTTAAACCAGCTGTGCTCACTGTTTTTATCGGTCGGGGTTGTTATTTTTTAGATTATATTAATAGAAATATAAAAGAATTTATGCCTAATAACTAGCTGTTACGTAACTGTACAAAGGAACATTCAAATTAGTTTGATTTCTAGACATATCTTACTTCAATAGTATGAACATTTCATCTTTAGTTATAAAACCGTCTCCGTTCAAGTCATATACAGAGAAACAGTGTTGGCGTCTTTCTTCATCGGAGCCCCTTAATAAGACGCTAAGGCCCCTCGCCCAGGCCTCAAACTTGAGGGCCCCCTCCCCTCCATTGGCCCCTCTCTCCCAGGTCAACCACACACGGTCCATGATCACGTCTTCTGTCACCAAGTCGAAAGTATTATGCATCACATCTCGGAACGTATTCAAGTCTATTCCCTGTAAAAAAACTCAACATATGTATTTATATACTAGCTTTCCGCCCGCAACTTCGCCCGCGTGGAGTTCGGTTATATCGCGTTTCCAAGAGAACCTTTCAAAAGTCTGGGATAAAAACTATCCTATATTCTTTCTCAAAGTCAACTCTATCTCTGTACCAAATTTCATTAAATTTAGTTCAGTGGTTTAAGCGTGAAAACGTAACAGACAGACAGACAGAGTTACTTTCGCATTTATAATATTAGTAGGAATTCGATCGAAACTAAATGTTAAATATTAACTTATGTTTGATAAACTGTATTTTTCTTAAGATTTTGCGTTATTTTAGATATAAAATGGAATTCAGAGGGTTACAATGTAATATATTAGAATACGTGGTATATGTCATACATTTACATTTTACGACTAGACGACAGAATGAAATTATTTTATATCATAGGGTCCTGTATCACGCTACTGTTCAAGCTTACATATGACAATACATATTCATATAACAAGCAGGGAAAGGAACAACAGCAAATTTCGAGAATATCAGACATTGAAGGTTTTCGTATCACCAAATTTTTGTCACAGCTTGGCACTCATTTTTCGATCATAAATATGGAAGATGAACATAAATTTGTAGCATTATACATATAACCAATGTAATATAAATTACACCATAAATCATGTTCTTTATATATTTTGTCCTCATAATATAAACATGACAAAAAATGCTTAAAAATTTTGTCATAGTAGTTTTCTGTCTGCTTTTAAAGATAAATTGTACTTATACCTATCAGACTACTACGTTACTTAGTTATATAGAGTTCATTGCGTAAATATAATGAGCCTGTAATATTTTTTCCAATGGACTTCCCCATTGTAACAGTAACACGTGAATTAGGACTTTATATTAAATACTTATATTAGATATTTCATAAGTCGAGTGAAATGAACATTTTCATTAAACATAAGTTTACAATAGAACTGTTAAAAACTTGGATTATTTATTTATACAGGGTGACTGGCGAATTACTATCAATACTTGAGGACGTGATATTTGACGATCATATATGACAAAATAAAAATTAATATAACATAAATATTAATAAACTTCTAAGTAAAGTTAACCAAAAGTTATGTAATTAATTACGCATCGTGTGAACACCCTACAGATTAGGTATACACACACACACACATACGCGTGCGTGGTGTTGTATCAGCACGCCGCCGCACGCGTCCACACTTGGAACACTTGGAACGTGTCCACATTTTATTTATTTATACGGAAATTTGGTCAAAAATTAAGTACCTATTTTTTTACATAATTCGAATGAGAATCATGTACCGAGTATTCTCCTTAAATATTGATAGTAATTCACCAGTCACCCTGTATATGAAACATATGGCGTTTTAAAACAGATTACGGACAAAGCCATAGCATAGAAAAACATACTAAATTGCCTTTGTATTTCTGTATTGCGTGCGTTCAAATCATGCTCATTACATTCCTACAATATTTACGATCGTTAAACTTTTTGGAAATATCACAGAAAGAGAATTACTCGTCTCAATAAAACACGTAGAACATCGAGTTGGTAACCATTTTATTCACTTGTACAAGTATGTCTGTTGCTAAGTATCCTATGGTCAATATAATGAGACTAATGTATAGATAGTTTCAATAGAATTTGACAATTTTGTGAACAAAGTAATTGGCTACGATAAGGTACTCCGTTCGTACGTACAGTTGAATGCAAGTCCTGACAAGTATTACATCTCAATGAACCTACTTGAATTCTATTGAAATGCTAGCTAGGTATATATATATTTAGTCCTTAAACAATACGTACCTTCAATGTTATAACTATATCCGAACATAGTATGTTTAAGCTTTATCTAAGTCCAAGTTATGACCTTAAATTATACTAAAATAAATTACTTTGAAGTTATTTATTTATATTATTAAACTTACGTCAATTTTAGCGACAGGTTGTCCAATCACGCTTGCGGGTGCAGCGTTCTGGGCAGTTGTCACCAGTTTCTTATACATCGTGAACAACGCTTCCAGCTCATTCCTACAACATAATACTTTGGACTAGGAACTATACAAGACAACCAGAAGAATATCAGACTGTAACACAAGTTTGTATCATCTACATGCGGAGAGTAACACGTTTTTAAATACAAATCCTTGCCCATTATAGTGTTAGTGTAGATTAATTATTGAATGAGAAACGGCAAACGCTTTGTACATAGTGTGACGATGTCAATTATGTTAAACCAGTACTTATTCCAAATTAAATCAATTCATAAAAGTAAACTATATGTTTGTAATAATATTCTATATAACTAATAAGAAATAATTCTCTCTACTGCAACACTTAGTAATAATGTTTAACAAAAACTCTCAATGTACTTTAAGTGTCAAAAAGTATTTTCAGTTCGCTTAATTTTTTTCTAAGTACTTTTCAACACAGCTGTCTGTAATCATTCTATATTCTCAGCTATTTATTTATTAATTAATAAACACATCTCCATATACGATTTATACACAGAGTTTCTTTCTATCTAATTATCATCTTGAAAGATTTTAAACATTTTATCGCTAGAAATAAATTTCTATCAACACCTTAATAACTCCTTATTTTCATTTCTAATTATCGTTTGTAACACTTTATTAAAGCAATGAAATTTTTTTTTAAATCACAACTCGTTTTGTTTTATTCACATAAATTTGTATTTATATAATAATAAAGATATTTGGCAGGGTAAGAGAGGATATTTGTAAGACTCACTTGTTAAAATGAGTGTTTCTATACAATGTATCAAGCGTCTTTTCTTTGAGTTGTCTACACGGCATGTTACACACTCTAACACAACTCACAAGTGCGTACGTGAGCCGTCCGATCACTATGAGACTGTTATTTTAACTGGCGAGGATGTAAACATTGTAACTTACTATACCCTTACTACGAGTATCCATTGTTAACTATAAAACTGACAGTTCAACGTTTTTCATACATAAACCGGTTTTGATTGAGATTGAAATTGGTATAAGGTAATTATTATAATTTTTAATCTTTATATTTTAAAAAACTTAATCTATCTTAAGAATTTATTTAAATGTTAATATTAAATTCTTTATTTACATTTAAACTAGTAGCATTAATTCCTACGGAGTGAATTGCAGAAGTTTTGATAACGTGAAGCGAAGAACTAAATTAATTCAAAAATGTTGTATAAGTTATGTAATCTGTAATAATATACTATAAAACTTCACTTTGTTAATTCTTTTATTCTATCTGTGGTGAAAAAAACAAATATTTAATATACCTAATATTGAGCTAAAATCAAATGTTTCGTTTCAGAAAAAGTATGTAACTTAATTAAGAACGAAAATTCTTAACGGCCAAGGCTGGGAGGGACTAAAATTATCTTTGAATATCCCTTTTATTTCAACCGAATTTTATAGTAAATATTACATACGAGACCAGATCTCGTCTGCCCGTTCTGTAGAGCAACCGAAACGTCGGGAGTATGTAGTTTTTTTTAATAAAAATAAAGTCGCGTATTATATCGAAAATATTTTTTTCATTTAAATGACTCGCGAAAATATCAGATCTCATTATAATTTAAAAATGCATATATTTCTTAACATACGACCATGTCTTTGCACATTTGCTTACACACGCAAGGAATGCATTCTTCTTTATTCTATCAAAACTCAAACCAGTATAAATAATAAAATATCAAATAATATTTTAAAATAAATTACTACTGAAATCATTTAAATTTAGAATTCATTAAGTAAAAATAGTTTTAAGTATGATTTAATAATTCTGTATTGATTACTCTTCAGTCTTCGTCTCGTGCTAGAGACGGGAAGTGCAACTAAATGTAACTAAATGTATTTGCCACGATGTCTTTGATAAAGTGGCCGTAATAAACTTTGGTAAGCTATGTACATACTACTAACTAATTTATTTGCAATCAAGGCCATATTTATATTTATAAGATGTATAATGAATATACTCTTACGTACAAAATTAACAAATGAAATTCCAAACCTTTGAATTTTTTTTTGGCCTTTTACTTATAACTTATTTTATCTACAGAGAAAAATACCACTTCAATGACCTTATACTTGTCTGTATTCAAATAGAAAATCGCTAGCACATTTATATTATTTTTTAAAATCAGTAACTAAACTACACTTAAGTATATGAAGAGAAGAATTTACAAATACTCTTTTAACAGATGTCAACTTTTATATCGATACCTTTGTATAACGTCGTAGAATTCATTTTTCCATTCGTGATGAAATTTACAACTTCGTAAAAATTTTCTATAAAAGCGATCTTTTGATCCAAAGTAAACATAAACCAACACAGTCTTCATCTTAAATTGCGGTTTCAGGCTTAATCTATAAGAGTGCATAGTGTTGCAATATAATAATTCTATTATTCTGCTAATAAAGCTTATATGGCTAATACACAATGTGCTTTGATAAAATATTATTTTGACAACACTGTTATTAAAAGCAACTCAAATATTAGAACAAAATGAAGATTATTTTGTTCTAAAATTTCTTACGGCGAAACAGTTGTATAATATGCAAAGTTTCTCTACAAGGAAGACAGATGGCGCTGTCAATAGGCAGTGTCTATTTTCTGTTTGTCGGAAGGCAAGCAAAAGCTACTCAATAATGATTACTTATCAAACTTTGTAGCTCTCAGTAGCGTTTCAGACAATCCCGGTTGTATCTTATGTCCGGGTAACACTTCCTTTGTCCTGGTTCGCTGTGGTGTTTTTCGGTTGGCCGCTGACTTGCTCGCGCTAAGGAAGATCCTCACACCACGCATGGCGATAGCGCTGGCAGCCATACTGATCTGACCGTGATTATTCTTCTTGTTTGACATAATCTGAATCAAATTATAAAACCTTTGAATGATTTTAATATACAAAACAATTTTAAAATTGCGGTAGGTAATTCTGTTTTTGAAATGATTAATGTGCTCACGAATTATTATAAACTAAAGAATTTTGAAATTTAGAGGGAGAAAATTTATTTATCGTTTATTTATTTGTTGTTGTTGTCTCTCTTTGATTGTCAAAGAGAGACAAACTTCCAGATGTTTCAGTTGTGTTTTCAGAGAGAACATAATTGCATAGATAAACATATTAAGTCTCCCCTTGAAGTATTCAATAAATATTAGGGTCTAAGTGTTACAACTACCCCTCGCCAACATTTTGTGACATTTTACACCTATATTCTAGCCGAGCAGCTCAAATTTATAACGAACTCCTTTAGATTGTACCAAACTATTTACAAATTACTGTTTCGTTACAAGACATCGTTACAACTACTAATACTTGTAGACAGTTCATAGTAGATACGATCGCCGTAACTGTCTCAACTTTTATTGCAAAATAATTATCTATAGATGAAACAGAAAACTAATCTAATTCAAATTGAACTTTTGCAATTAACTCTACCTATTAGTGGCGAGTGGTGCGAGGTACGGGTTATAGTTCCGAGACGCAGTCAGGATATTGATCGGTATATAATATATATTAATAATAAATAAATTATAAACAGTATTAAAAAAAATTGGTTGTTTGTAAAGTAGGTTTACGATCGAGATGTTTACGTGATGACGTCTTATTGGTGATATAAGTTTTTAGGAAGTAATTAATTAATGAAGATAACAATTTTTTCAAATTTTAAATTACATCTATCGTTTTCAACGAAAACTTAACCGCACGAGAAAATCTCCATTCGTTTGTATGCCGCTAGAGTGAGAGAGATTCCGCGTGACGAGTTTCACGGAATGACTGGCAGCGCTCGAGATGAGACGGGAGATCGGTCCGTCTCTCTCTCGTTATACCTGCGATCGTGCTCGTGAGGTTTTGGTGTGACACAAGTTTCTGAACATGTCACCCGACTAAAACGATTTTAAAGACGTTATCACGTCAAAAATATATAAAATGATATATCCACAAAATTTAACTGTTGATTTGATATAGCAATAGCATACATGTAAATATTCCTAATCTCTAATATCACATAAAAAATTCCGAGCAAAATATTCTTTTATAATTTATTTAGAAGCCATGAAGATTATTTTGTTTTAGTTTTTAAATTAAACATGCATCATGTTTTGCCAATTTCTTCCGATCATGTTTTTATTTTTACTCGTGATGCACTTCATTTGTGTTTAGTTCACCTCAAAAATAATTTTACTCGTTAGCCTTCTAATATTACGGAATGTTATGGAATGGATGTGCGTATTTCATTGGCGTGGGGTCCAGACAGACCATGCAACTGTGGCTTGGATCGGGGACACTTCCATACCCCATGTCAGCGACACACAAAACACTACTCTCAGCTCAGATTCAGCTAAAATCTTATTTTTACATAAATATATATAATAGAATATGACAACTTAAATATCAAATATGTTTACATTATTCTGACAAAACCTGCCGGTAATATTTGTAGCAATTAACGAAACTCAAAAAAAAAGCTATTATAATATGTTTATCACACAAATGACATAATGATTTTTAATTTTAAAATCAAATATGCCATTATTTCGAATGACGTAATTCGTTAATATACCTAAACATAGTATCAAAAACATAAATATATGTGGTAATTAGTGTCTGTTATAATATAATACGTAAGATGTTTAAATATGTGTATATTTACACTCCCATTAAATTGAATATTTTCTTAATATCTTCAAAGGATATCAAATAATAGTTCAAGTTATAATTGAATAACCTATTCCAATCAATAGCGGAGTCGAAACTTACTCCTGACCTCATTCCTTAATGAAATACAAAACAACAAACTATGTTAGATCGATATTTTCTATTGCTAGTACTTACGATATATGACCGTATCTCTATCCGCCCTATTTACACCATATACATAGAGATATGAGGTAGAAGTAAAGCCTTAACTATAACCAAGTGCCACACGACTGATTGTTGCTAAGTTACCGATTTTTTTGGTATTTATGGATTGAATTAACGTTATTGCTGGTCATACACATGTATTCTTGGTTATAAAAGCAAGAAAATATTGCTTTGTTTTTAATCAAACACGCAATTAGTTGTGAGTTATTTTTTTCTTTTGGAGTAAAGGTCACTTTCTGAATATAAAGCCACAAAATGCTGACACAGACAGATGGAGCTTCGGTCGTCATTTTGAAAACACGTTGTTGGCTGATATTTGGAGCAGATTATATTAAAAAGAATTAAGTTTAGCAGAATTAAATTTGTCATTTTATATATTTGTAAAACTTTTAGGGTTTAAATATCGATGGATAACTCTTTCAATATTGGATTAATTAAGAAAATACAACTATGATTTTGAAAAACCTCTGTAGTCTTTACAAGTTTTCTAAAACTATTTTACTTTATTCATGCTTTTTTAATAATTTTATAAAAGGTTTAAAGATGAAAATTTCAAAATTCTCATAGAATATGATGGTACAAATTCAACACCTTGTTGCATATATAATTTTATTGATTGGACGTAGTATTTAAACGAAAGTAATTATTAATAAACTTAAAAAAGTATGTATAACAGTGTTATCCGGCGTCGGGACGTGACGACCCCATCGCCCACTGGTGTATTCCGGTGCAATCAGTCACGGGGGGGAGGGCTGGGGGTACAGCCCTGGGAGTAAGACGGTCACGGATCTGGCAGGAGGCCGTCCGTGGCTGTCTTGGGGGGGAGGGGATACTCGGGTCTCTCCGGAGGCCTGAGTTCGCTTGTGGTCGGTCGGTTTCCTCTCTGTCTGCCGTCGGGCGCTTGCGCTCGTCGGTGGGTGGTTGGAGACTGGCCGCGTGGGCTTGGGTGGGAGGGGTAAGGGGTTAACCCTCTCGCGATTAAGCAAGCCCGCCAGGCGGGGGGACACTCCTGGTCACTTGGAGTGAGCCCTCGGGGGGGGGGGGGGGAGGTGGCCGTTCGCGGCCCGCCGCCGGATCGTCGCGGATGCATGCTTCGGCGTTTCCCGTGGCGATCCACTTGGCGGCAACGGAGAGTGACCGCTGGTGTTTTAGTGGGTAACATGGGCCCTTCTGGCCGTGAATCCCACATAACCGCCTCCGTCTCCCCTAGACGGAGGGGTAGGTATAAAACCTTTCACCACGATAACAAAAAAAAAAAAAAAAATGTATAACAGTGTTAGAATTAATCACGCAAGCGGCAAGACATCAAAGTTACTTTGTGTTCAGCGCCATCTTTTGTATTATTGTAGCATTACACAATAGAAGTTCACACATCATACGATAGATGTCTATAGCACCTTAAAATATAATATATGATATTAACAACACTTAACAAACATATTAATTTAGATAGTAATTACAGTACCTAACACTTATTTATAATATTTTTATTAAATAACATAAAATTATAGTTACGCACGAAAACATGACACTTGATTTCTGTCATAAATGAAATGTCAAGAATCGTATCTAAAGTCAGTATTCTGTTATTGATAAAGAAACAATGGATTTGTGTTGATATTAAGTGGTTTCATGTTTTTATTCCTAAATAACATGAAATTTTATTGAAACAATTTAATTAAAAGCTTCCATTGGATATAGCTAGTGTATGTTTGTGAAGTTGACGAGGATATTCTCGAATTTTGCTGCCGTATGGTGAATTTGTGACGAAATAATAGGTACGTGATTTTTTTTAATTCATTTTAGATATCATTTATTATATATATTACATTATTTAGATAAAAACGGCTGAAATATATAGCTCATTATTTAAATATGCTATTTATGCAGGTTAATTTTTATTTATTATTGAAATTATATAAAAAAACATTAAAGTTAACATTTTCAAAAACAACTGATCCAAGAATGCTTACATTCTAATTATAACTTCTATATATTTTACCTACATATAAGAAGTGTCAAAAATATTATCTTCTATGACATCATTTATAAAATTAGAATATCTTTTTGAGACAATCCTCATTTATCATTCATATCAATAAAATATAAAATTCTAATAACACTCATTTTTAGATAAAGTATAATTAAAAACTATACATATGTATTTGGCAAACATTATTTTATTTGTCCAGTCATATACCAACTTTATACTACATATAGTTTGTTTACTAACATTTATATAAATTATGAAATCCTTAAAAATAACTTTAATTCCAGATTAAATCTTACTGATTGTAATATTTAACTTGACCGTTTTAAAATTAGCCTGTTACATTTATATCAATATATTTAATGTTTATGTTATCATTCAGTTTTGTAAATATTTTTTACTAAATTATATATTTGGCCGATATTAAGTATCATCTTGCACGTTTTGTATTCTAGCAACAAGCAAAACAAATTTACATTTAGCCAATATAAAAAAAATTATATACTATTCTAATACTATGTTTTATTTGTCTAAAACTAAATTAAGGAATGGAAACGATTTGACAATGTTTTATCTAAAATATATTATAATTTTTTTGAAAAATTTTCCTATTTCTATGTAAACATAAATATATGTAATGTATATACAAAACTTAAATATTAAAAATAACACTTTACTTTAATAAAAACTAATAGAAATTTCTACATTTCCCAATAACTGGTACCAACAAAATAACTTTGAAGTTAGTTCATCTATTTAAAAGATAATATAAAAAAGAAAACCAACAAAATTCAATACTATATTATGTCTCAAGTAATTCACCAGTCACCCTGTATATCTATCTTTTTTATTTAATATTTGTCTCATTTACATACATATATTAAAAAAATCCATGTTTGCAATATTTTAATTCAACTCATCCTTTTAACGGTAATATGTAATATAAATTACATTAATAATTCTAGTAATATTATTACGACGTACACGAACATTTCCATCAATATTTTACGAGATTGAAGTGTAATCTGTAAGCTACCAAGCCTTTGAAACATAGAATTAAGGCTACATTTACTTGTCTACTACATAAGCCTAGCCGTAAGAACAGGTAAGGGCAAGCGGTCTTTGATCCCGGATTCCTGTTATTAGGGAAGGCCCTAAGATTTATGGCGCCGGGATTCAACTACGTAAGATCTGTTCACGAACTGAATCACTTTAAACAAAGTAGAACTGACATAATAACAACATTTATATGTCGGAGATGCAGATTCGTCACGACCATCGTCAGACATTTTATAAACTTGTAGGCGTATCTTCGGGTGAACGAGTAATAAGAAACTATATCACTTCTTGTAGAGTACTTTAATAATTATCTTCACACTATATTAAATTCACAATGAGTCACTTTTAATTCGCAAACGAAACGGGTAACAGTTCCTAGCGTAGAGGACCCGATGTTCATGACCGCTCGATGGCAATTGCTTCCAAGATCGGTGTCCCCGCACAGCTAGACTCTGTTGTAACACGAAGTTAGCCGCGTGTCCGCGGATGACGTTATCGCGCCGTTGCAGCCCTCTATCGGAACTCGTGCTGCGTTTCGTTTACCATCTATGCTCATGACCGTCTCCGACACGGCCATCCTGCGCTCACGCGTCCACGTGTGATGATTATTCTGTGACATAGAAAACAACAAAGTACATACCGTTCGGTCACTCCTGACCCAAAAAGCTTTCCCTCATACTAGGGCTTGAAGATAAATGAAAATAAACCTTCTATGACAATTTAATTTAATTTTACATCATGTAAACAAACTAAATATAACAATTACTAAAAATGCTAGAGCCACCAAGTGCCAATTTCATAACCAATCATCTTTACACAATTCAACCAATTATTATCTTTACGCAATCATCTTTACACATTTCAAATCATATCATAGTACACATTGTAAACAAAGCATGAATCATATTCGTGGCCTGTGGCTTTCACAAAGCCCTCCCGACAAACCACATGTTTGTCACATTACGTTCTCACAAACGCCGAGCCCTCCTGGCTCTATGGTCTCTACAAGACCCGACCTCCGCCAGAGCTACCCGCGCACCGCGTATCCACGGACTGCCAAGGCAGATACCGACTTCTAACGGACTACGGCTACGAAATAACTACTGGTACGGTCCGACCAGCCGAACTATGATTCATTACCATCACTCAGCTCAACCTCTTTTAATTCAATTGGTACTTGGCTCTCAGGCATTCGTCTTAATCTGTCATGGGCATACTTATAGGTACGTTTAGAATTTATCGCTTTCAATGTATAGCGATCTCCGTCTAATACCTCAACCACTTTAAATGGTCCCTTATACTTAGGATCAAGTTTCACTTGTTTACGCTCTTCATTTTGTAACAACACAAAATCTCCAATAGAAAACTTATCCAGCGTTGCCTTAGTTTTATCAAACCGTTTCTTATCATATTCAGCTGATTTTTCTATTAATACAGCTGCGTTTTCCCTAACTTGTTCAATATCTATGGTTTCATCATTATCATTAGCCATTAAACCAAGAGGACGCGCGACTTTTCCGATAAGTAATTCTAGAGGACTCGCCTTTGTTACGCGATTAACAGTACAGTTCAGAGCGAGCTGTACATCTCCTAACGCATCCTGCCATGACCTATTTTCGCTTGTCTCTACAGCGGTGAGCATAGATTTTAACGTGCTCATTGTACGCTCAACCTGTCCATTAGCTCGTGATGTCCCGGTAGCTATTAAATGGAGCTTAATGTTTTTACTATCACAAAATTCCCTAAACTCATGACTCGCAAAACAACGACCTTGATCAGCGATAATACGTACTGGCGCTCCAAACAACGATACACTTTTTATCACGGCTCGAAGAATACTACTGGCGGTATCAATATGCATTGTATGATGTAAAATAACAAACTTAGTGAACGCATCAATTAGAACAAACACATACTCCTTATTATCGCGTTTCCCGCTGAGCTTACCAGTCGCATCAATGTGAACCGTATGCCAGGGCACCGTGACTTTAGGAATCGGGTGTAACTCCGCCTGTACCTTACCAGAGTTCGACTTCGCTACCTTACACGTAACACAATTATTCACGAACTTCCGAACATAGCGACACATACCTTCGAACCAGTAATAATCGTAGAGCTTCTCGAGTGTCTTTTCCCAGCCAAGGTGAACGATGGAATCGTGTATGTTGTGTACAACTGACCATCGTATACTTCGAGGTAACACAGGCAAACATTTGGTTCTGCGGTTACGTTGAATTTTCCGATAAAGTAAGCCTGATCTTACCTCATATGTATGTGCGATGTCATCCTTAAGCTCGCAATTATTTAATTGAGTTATGACTTTCTGTATGTCTTGGTCTCGCTGTTGCTCAGCCAGAAGCCAGTTACCAGATACTTCCGTTAAATCAACACGATTCTGATGCACCTGCCTAATTTCTTCTGTCTGTTGACGGGGTAAATGATTGCGAGAAAAAAAATCAACATGTGCCATACTTTTACCTGATCGGTAGACAACATCGAACTCGAATCCTTGTAGGTAGGCCCACCAACGTTGTACTCTCGGAGTCAGATCTATTTTATCTCTAGATGCCTTTAATGAATTGCAGTCGGTTACCACAACAAACTTTCTTCCATGTAAATAAGAGCGGAAGTGCTTAACACTATTTACTACCGCTAAAGTCTCCAGCTCATATGAGTGGTACCTTGATTCAGCGGGTGACGTGCGTTTGCTGTAATAACCAACTACACATTTCTTACCGTTTATTATCTGCAACAACATAGATCCGTACCCGTCCATACTCGCATCCGTATGTAACTCTGTTGGGTAGCGAGGATCGAAAATAACTAATACCGGTTCCGTTGTTAAAACCGTAATCACCTGTTGTCGTATCTCCTCATGATTCGTTTTCCAAATAAATGGGCATTTACTTGAAGTTAATCTGTGTAAGGGTGCCATTAATCGAGAAAAGTTACGTATGAACTGCCTGAAATATGAAGCAAGTCCAATAAATTGTCTAAGTTGTGTTACCGACTCGGGTGGAGGTAAAGCGCTAAGTGCCTCAATTTTCCTTTTGTTTGGTCGAATTTTACCCGCCTCTACTTCGAAACCTAGGAACTGTACGCACTTTTTTAAAAATGAACACTTTTTGAGGTTAAGTGAGAAGCCAGCTTTAGTTAAAATCTCCAAAACAATATTAAGCCTCTCTAAACCCTCTTCTTCCGTCTCAGCCAATATTAAAATATCATCAACGTAAATCACAACGTAGGTATATGCCAGCTCACCTAAGGCAATCATCAAAGAACGTTGAAATACCGAAATGGCGTTTCGAAGGCCAAATGGCATAGCCAAAAACTCGTATTCTCCGTCAGGGGTTACAAATGCTGTTCGCTCGATTGACCCCTTACTAACAGATATTAAATGGAAGCCGCTCGCGCATTCCAATTTAGTAAAATAATTAACCCCATTAAGACGTGAAATTTGCTCTGAAATTAATGGTAAGGGGTACCTATCTGGAACTGTATTTTTATTTAGTTCGCGATAATCAATACACATACGTTTCGAACCGTCAGACTTCTCAACTAACAATGCAGGACTCGCGAAAGGTGAATTACTCGGTCGTATAATTTTGGCATCTAATAATTCTTTGACTCGCTCACGCATTATTTTTCGTTCCTCTGGCGAGCAGCGATAAGGCCTCCTTTGTACAGTTTTACTTGGATCAATCAAACGAATTTCAAGCTCATACGTGTTAACGCGAGTAGTCGGAAAACCGGTAGTAAAATATTTCGAAAAATTTTCTAATATATTGACTAGTGATTTTCTATGTTCAGCTGATACGTCAGTATCTACTATCTCAAAATTGTTTATTTTATCGGCACTAATTGTAGTACACACGTTAATTAAATTACATTTTGTCATTGTGAATTCGTTCGCGCTTATGTTAAGGACAAACCCAGAAGATAAAATCTCGCGTCCTATCATAATATCACTACGTAAATAAACGTCCGGCAACACATGGAATAAGATTTCGATTGGATACTCATTAATTTCTACATAACACAAAATTTGTTCAGTACTAGTAACATTTTTGTTACCTATTCCTACTAGTGAGACTACATTACTAAAATGTCTACCATACAATTTCGCAATACTTTCTTTAACTAAGGAGCACTCGGCTCCTGAATCAAAATGAAATTTAAACGTCTCACCGTTATGTCTCAGCGCACCTGATGGGGGCTCAACCGTACATAGGTCGACTCGACGCTCAGCTCTAGGTACGGCCGTTGATGAGGTGGTGGCAACAGGGGCGACGCTACCACAGCGCGAAGCGATGTGGCCAGGCTGTCCGCACTTGAAACAGATGAGGGCTTCCTTCTGGGTCGACTGTTGACTCGGACGAATATGAGTAGTCGTCGGTGTAGAATGCTTCTTTCCCTTGAGGCGACAATCGATTTGCTTATGGCCAGGCTTGCCACTTGATTTCTCTTTTACTCGTTTTGATCCCACTTCTGATGTCGGAGATGCAGATTCGTCACGACCATCGTCAGACATTTTATAAACTTGTAGGCGTATCTTCGGGTGAACGAGTAATAAGAAACTATATCACTTCTTGTAGAGTACTTTAATAATTATCTTCACACTATATTAAATTCACAATGAGTCACTTTTAATTCGCAAACGAAACGGGTAACAGTTCCTAGCGTAGAGGACCCGATGTTCATGACCGCTCGATGGCAATTGCTTCCAAGATCGGTGTCCCCGCACAGCTAGACTCTGTTGTAACACGAAGTTAGCCGCGTGTCCGCGGATGACGTTATCGCGCCGTTGCAGCCCTCTATCGGAACTCGTGCTGCGTTTCGTTTACCATCTATGCTCATGACCGTCTCCGACATATATTTATTTAATTGAGAATATGTATGTAAAATTATAATAATGTTCTATTTGATAGTTCTGTAAATCAACAAAATTGATCGCGTCTATGACATTAGTGACTGCATTCAATGTAAGTGACATATAAGTGTTGTGCAATCATTGACGGTCGAATCAGATTATATTATGATGACATAAATATAATGTAGATTTAATTTTTAAAAAAATATTATAAGAAATAAATACAATATCTGGACGTTAGTAACAAATATTAAATTAAATTTAAGTTACTATTTTGTTATATATTATTCTAATTTGGCAACACTAATAAGAATTTTTAAATATAGAACGTCTTTAAAGAGTCACTTGATTGTTTTTTTAGCAGTTTTTTTAACGTGTATAAGTTTTTGTTTATTTTCTTTATATTTTATCGATGTAACGGGAACAAAGGCCTCTTTTCAACATGAGAGTACTCCAAGATAAACATCTGGTGTTCATATTAGTCTGTGTCAGCACTCAGCCGTCTTTGTAATAATGAGCCGGTATTCTTTTGTTTGTCAAAGATCGCGTTTTAAGTGTAGTTCCGTTTTATGCTGAATTAATTTTTATGTTTATTTTAAAATACAATGTTTTACATCAAGTTTCCTGCATCGAGAATCATATTGGTGTTATGCTTTTTATTTTAATCAGTTTTAAAGTATACATATTTATTTTAAATTCAATTTGTTTTTTTTTTTCATATAATTTTTTTACAAGGTCTCTATATCTTGTCTGCGTAAATACATTAATATTATTTTTTAAATTAAACTGTTTATCTTTTGATATATATAATTGTATTTTTTTTTAATTCGTTCATTATAATAATTGTCTAAGATTATAAGTAATTATAAGTAAACTGTGTACAGTCGTAAAATATCTGAACACTATGCATTGTGTCAATAAATTGTTTTTAAATCACGCAGTCACGAATTGACTCTTGGCTATGATATTCACGTCTTTAAGATGCATCTCCATATTAAAAAACAATACATGTATGTGTCATTAAATCGCATATTAAAAAGAGCAGAAACCTCTTAGCATTCAATGGATTCACGGTGTGGGTGCCGGGTCCATCGTTACAGGGAGAGGAGCTTCAACAGTGACTGGGACTTGCGACCCAGGTGTAGGTTTAAGGGGCCCCTTATCTAACGCGCGTTATACGCTCACCTCCACTGTCCAAGCCAATCTCTCTACCTAACCAAATTTAAAAAGGACCTACTAGGGCTGCCTTCGAAATACGTTCCAAGAACGAATTGATATTGGTTCTGCACAGGCCCAAGTCTTTAAGTAGGTTGTAGAGAGATTTAGCTGTTATACCTCTCGCTCCCACCTCTAGCGCGTACAAATCCACGAAGAACCTATTTGTAGTGAGTTATTAATTTATATGAAATAGTTTTGATTTTTTAAACCGAGTAACATAGATCTGTCTTTTATAGATAGTTATAAAAAATTAAAATCCAAGATGGCGTAAGTAGTTGAGTGCGTTCAAGTTAGCTATTATTGTAATATTAAATAATAAAACCAACGACATTTCTGAGTTTGGCGCTCATGTCGTACGTAAGCCCTAATGTGATAATGAAATCTGATAAAAATCAGGTACTTTAAGAGGATTGCGTTTTATAATCCACAAGATATTTGTATTAAAAAATTAGTACTTGATATACATATATCTGAAGATAAACATTTCCGTATTTTTAGAACGAGTTGGAATCGTTAACTACAAAACAAAACGTTTCAAGGTTTTCACTTTTCAATCTTTGAATCTCTACACGATCATACGTAATAAGATCTTTATCTGTAAACTAGAACTCAGTTTGATTAATAAAACTATTCAAATAATCATTCCTTTTACGATAAAGCAGTTTTACGAATGTAAAAAAATATATGTACGAGTTATATTTAAAATAATACTTCGGTAGAACATAAAAGTTGAATTAGTGTGACCCTATAAACTTTGTTTGAAATGGAAGGTGTGAAAAAATATGAAAAAACCCTTTATTACTTGACTTATATTTTAATTTTAAAAATTACAAATAAGAAATAATCTTAAACCATTTCTAGAAGGTAATACAAGTATGAACAGAAAATTAAAAGCGAAGTTAAGTTGGCATTTTACTTCGCCTTTTCAAGAGACCAAGCGGTCCATGTTATTCTGGTCAGTGGTTTGAGTCCGGTAATGAGGTTTCAAGAAATGTTTGCTTTGATTAAAACATCAATTACTTTTGATGCAAAATTCTTTGAAATATAAGTAATACTTACCTAGATCTTTAAGTTTGTTAACTGTTTATTTAACTGACCACCTTAATTAGAACCATAATTTGTAATCAAATGTTATAATTGTTGAAGTTTAACTATATAAAAACTTTTATTTTATATAATTATACAATTTACCTGGTATTCTAGTGTAATGACTACGATCCCTTTTCCATTCCGTTCTGAATTCTTTAAATAATGTCACAGCTTTCCGCGCCTCTATAACTTATTCTGTCACGAAACCGTCTGATTTAATTTCATTATATTATAAAACATTTTAACTAAAAGTATATTTATTGTTATATATTTTATTCAATATGTTAATTATCCTACGACATAGGAATATGTAACAATATTTTTTGCATGCCAAAAGTACTGATTGGGTCATTTAATTATGAGTACACTTAACACTACACCTAAGAGATACTTAGTATTTTTTGTGATCACGAGTGCACTTAAATGCGTTAGTTATATTAACAGACCACGTTGTATTTCTTTGTTACAATAAAAAAAAGACGAAATTCCCAGAGAAGATTCAATCTACGTGTAGCGATTTGAAGGACAATAGTTGGATAGCAATACTTAAAAATTTAAGGACTCAGTATTGAATGTAAAATTCTGATACTACTAGAGGGGGGAAGAAAATTCTTAGAAGTTTTTTATAAGCATAAATGTATGAAAGTGTGATGCATTTTATGAGTATAACATTTTTAGAAATTGGTCTTTCAACATAGGTAGCAGGGGATATAACATACTGATTTATATATCATATTTTTTTAAGCCTGTCTGAATTAATATTAGATCGGATTTATAGTACATTCAACAAAATCTTAGTGACCACTAAATATATGAGGCTAAGTACAGACAAAATAAATTGACTTAGGTGTATATTAATGTATAAATCTACCAAACAGTCTCGGTATAGTTTTCGTGACGGCTTAAATTCGTTGTGAACAAATTAAGGAATGCCTGTATCTAAAGCTATTATTTGTATGTCGTGATCTGTTTATACTTCTCTTCAATACAAATCGTATAGCGGATCTATTCTCACGTCTGAATGTGTAATGCTTTGAATCTGTAAGATCGTTACAAGTAAAATGTTTTGCAAACTAATGTCAGTTATTTGCTTAGGTTTCATATATTAGCACGAAAAATGGATTAAGTTCTATCCTGTAAATAGGTAAATAATCAAGAGATATCTGAAAAAATACAGCATAAGTTTATTGAGTGGTCGTAATAATTCTCTTTTTGTTTGTTTCTACATGTATATGTTTTCAATATATTGAAAAACTTTGTTTAATTCGAAGAATCTTTCATATTTTTTTCTATACTTTCCGAAGATTCTTATGTAAGCGAAATAAAAGGTATCATCTATCTGGGACAAAGGTAACTTTAAGGATTGCTTAAATTTGCTCGAAGTGATACGAAAGGTCCACAAAGATCTGTATAATTCAATATTCCTAAAATACAATTATTACAGTAACGAAATTACCTTTGTCAGAAGGAAGGAATAAAGGAACTTCTTAAAATAATAAGGTTTCTATCGTATTTTAATTAAAAATCTTAGTTTCAACAACAAAATATCGACTATTTAATCTTACTGCAAGTAAAATAATATCAATTTATCTGATGGATGCAATCATGATATTGCTAAACTGAAAGTTCTTTTAGGAAATACTGCAAGTTTAAAGGAAGGTTGAATTTCATAAGTTATCAAATAATATAAAATGTATAACTTATTTTCCAATATCTGCTGTGTTTGTTATAATTTATAAGGCTATCAGTATTAATTATGTGCTGAACGAACGTCGCACGCCCTTGACCTTCTCCGATGGAGCGCGAAAGGCTTGGGTTTTGCTAATTAGAAGCGATTTGATGTGGCTTACCAAACTATGATCACTTTCATGGTTTTGAAACTGATCATTTATAATTTGAGGAATAATTTTGCACAAGATGGCATAAGACTGTGAACTGCGTTAAAATAGGACAATTGACAGATTTATTGATAATAATGAAAAAATAACAGCAAAAAACATTATTTAATTAAATGAATACTATAAATATTTTTTTCGTACAGCAAAAAGAGTAATATATTCCTTTAAATTTGTGTAATTTCTTGCTTTTCGCTTGGCGTTTTTACTCTCTTCAAGGCTGCCAATATTTTTGTATCACAGAGAACATTCTTATGAAAAAAATGTTAGACATTTCGAAAATTCAATATTCATCATAACTTTCGTGTTTATTGGGTGAAAACATTTCCATTTTAACTTTTTTTTGCTAACTTTATATTGAAATACTCGAGAACTTGTTCCTTTCTAATAAAAGTTATGAATTTCATGAAAAAAATCTGGCAGAAAATATTTCTAAACTCTTAAAAGTTACTAGATCAA